GAGGCTGAGACGGGTGGATCTGAGGTCAGGAGTTCGAGACCAGCCTGGCCAACATGGTGAAATCCCATCTCTAACAAAAATACAAAAACCATTAGCTGGGTGTGGTGGCATGAACCTATAATCCCAGCTGCTCAGAAGGCCAAGGCAGGAGAATTGCTGGAACCCTGAAGACAGAGGTTATAGTGAGCCAAGACTACGCCACTGCACTCCAGCCTAGGCAACAGAACCGAGACTCCATCTCAAAGAAACACACACAAATTAGCTGGGCATGGTGACATGTGCCTGTAGTCCCAGCTACTAGGGGGGTTGTGGCTGAAGAATCACTTGAACCTGGGAAGCAGAGGTTGCAGTGAGCCAAGATCATGCCACTGCAATCTGGCCTGGGCAACAGAGTGAGATTCCATCTCAAAAAAAAAAAAAAGAAAAGAAAAGAAAAGAAATAACTATCCAAGGCTGGGTGTAGTTGCTCATGCCTGTAATCCCAGCACTTTGGGACCCAAGGCGGGTGGATCACTCACACATGTAATGCCAGCATTTCAGGCAGCTGAGGGGGGAAGATAATTTGAGCCCAGGAGTTCAAGACCAGCCTGGGCAACACAGTGAGACCCTGTCTCTTAAAAAAAAAAAAGAAAGAAAGAAAGAATTATCCAATTAATGCCTGCTCCTCAACAGACGGTAAGCATCATGGGCAGGAAATGTATACAGCTTGTTAAGCATTGTATACCTAGCACCTAGCACAGTGTTTGTCAAGTGGAGACTCAATAAACATTTGTTGAATGAAGGAAATGTGAACAAATGAGAGCAAAAATTGGATTCAAATTAAATATTATGCATTATAATACATGAAAGGAGGGCATTTTTCTGATAATTTATATATTCATTCATTCATTCAATAAATATGCCAATGAAACGTGCTAGCACCGCTTGAAGCATTTAGGATACATCAGTGAATAAAATAGATAAAAATATCTATCCTCATAGAGCTTTTATCTAGAGGGGGAAGACAATACCCTTAAAATAATTGGGGGATGGAGGCACTGCAGGATAAAAGGGATTGCATCAGGAGGAAACTGGTTTGCAATTTTAAATAAAGTGGTTAAGACAAGCCTCATTAAAAGGGTGATATCTGAGCAAAGACTCGAAAGAAAGTTAGCCATGCAAACACCGAGAAAGTGTTCTAGGCCAAAGATTCTAAGGCGAGAGTGTTCTCGATGTGTTTAAGATACTAGAAGGCCAGTTGCTTAGAGCACAGTGAGTGTGAGGAAGGATAGTTGGAGAAGAGAGGTCGGCTGGGTGAGCTGGGAGTGGGAGAAGGCAAGCACAAGGTGATGTGAAAGACTTGTACACCAATGCCACTCAACAGAAGAGTAACATAAGCCACATGCACAATTTTAAATTTTCTAATAACTATAATATATAATGTAAAAAGAAACAGTGAAGTTAATATTTTATTATCACTAATACCCTAAAGTATTATTTCATTATCAATGTAAAAAAATTGGACTGGGCATGGTGGCTCACACCTGTAATCCCAGCACTTTGGGAGGCCAAGGCAAGTGGACCACCTGAGGTCAGGAGTTCAAGACCAGCCTGGCCAACATGACAAAACCCCATCTCTACTGAAAATACAAAAATCAGCCAGGCACAGTGGCGTGCGCCTATAATCCCAGCTCCTCAGGAAGCTGAAGCCAGAGAATTCCTTGAACCTGGAAGGCGGAGGTTACCATGAGCTGAGACAGCACCACTGCACTTCAGTCTGGGTGACAGAGCAAGACTCCATTTGGAAAAAAAAAAATTACTGAGGTATTTTACATGGTGTTATTTTTTGTTTGTTTGTTTTTTCTTTATGCTAAGCCCTCAAAATCTAATGTGTGTCTGACAAACTCAGTTCAGATTAGCCAGATTTGAAGTGCCCAATAGTGGTTAACAAAATGAACAGCACAACTGGAGGCCATTCTAAGGGCTTTGGATTTAGAAAAACGGAGAGTTCTGAGCACAGGAGTAACATGACTGTCCTTACAGGACCAATTTCACTACTTATTGAGAGTAGACTGTAGAGAAATCCAAGTGAGAGACGGTAGCAGGTTGGAACAAGGTAGCTGCAGTGGAGTGTGAGAAGTCAGAGTCTGGATTTATTTGAGGATAGAGCCAACAGGATTTGCCAACTATTTAATGTGAAGTGTGAGATACAAAAGGAGTCAGCCAGGTGTGGTGGCTCAGAGCCTGTAATGCCAGCACTTCAGAGACTGAGGTTGGAGGAGCACCTGAGCCCAGGAGTTCCAAGAGCAGCCTGGGCAACATTGTGAGATCTCATCTCTACCAAAAAAAGAAAAACTTGGCCCCAGAGGTCATAGTGGGCCCCAGAGGTCAAGGCAACAGTGAGCCATGACTGGACCACAGCACTCCAACTTGGCCAACACAGTGAGATCCTGTCTCAAAAAAAAAAAAAAAAAAAAAAAAGAGAAGAAGATATTGTGTTGTTGGCGCGGAGAAATGAGAGATGGAATTGCCTTCAAATGAAAAAAAAGACTGCAGGCTATGACAATTAGTTTGATTTTAAACAACTGCAAGGTGCTGATATGCCATCAAAGTGGAGATGTAGAATATTCAGAGGAGTATAAGAATCTAAAGTTCAGAAGAGTGATCCCAACTGTAGATATAAATTTGATAACCATTAAGATATAGACAATAATTGGCTGGGCACAGTTACTCACACCTGTAATCCAGCACTTTGGGAGGCAGAGGCAAGTGGATCACTTGAAGTCAGGAGTTCGAGACCAGCCTGGCCAACATGGTGAAATCCTGCCTCTACTAAAAATATAAAAATTAGCTGGGCGTGGCGGTGGACACCTGTAATCCCAGCTACTCAGGAGGCTGAGGCACGGGAATCACTTGAACCTGGGAGGCAGAGGTTGCAGTGAGTCAAGATCGTGCCACTGCACCACTCTAGCCTGGGTGATAGAGCGAGACTCCATCTCAAAAGAAAAAAAAAAAGATATAGACAAGAATCGATCATCCATTTCTTCAACAGCCAGGAAGAACACTGGTATTGAGGCTGACATACCTAACAGGGACAGTAACTACCGTGGCTTCCAGTGCTTTAACAAACCTCAGACGCATGGCCTTCTGCCAAAGCATTTGCAATTTTATATTGTTGAAGCATTCATTGTATCCCTGGGGGTTTTCACTATGTTTGCTGTGGCTGAGCCAAGAAAGAAGGCCTACATAGACTTCTACAGAAATGATGATTCTATGAAAGATTTTTAAGAGGTGAGGAAGGCTGGTATATTTCAGAGCACAAAGTGATTGTGGAATATAAAGAATTTCTTTGGGTTGAATTACCTAGAAGTTTGTCACTGACCTATGTTTTTGAACTATGAAACGTGAATATGTGGGCTAATAGTTTCTCTTGATAAGTAAACAAAAATTTTTTTTAAATAGACAATAAATAATCGAAGCCACAGAATTTGGATGAGCTCACCAAGGAGTGAATTTAGATACAGAAGAGATGAGAATGAAGGATAGCATGCTGGCCTCTAGAACACTCCAAGGAAAGAGACTGTGGAAAGGAAGAGGAACCAGCCAAGTAATATGAGAAAAAATGACAAATGAAATTTAACAGAGAGATATCCTAGAAGCCAAGAGAAGAAAATGTGACAAGAAAATTGTAATATTCAGCCAGGCATGGAGGCTCACATCTGTTATCCCAGCACTTTGAGAGGCTGAAGCGGGCGGATCGCATGAGGTTGGGAGTTCAAGACCAGCCTGACTAACATGGAGAAAACCCGTCTCTACTAAAAATACAAAATTAGCAGGGCATGGTGGTGCATGCCTGTAATCCCAGTTACTGGAGAGGCTGAGACAGGAGAATCGCTTGAACTTGGGAGGCGGGGGCTGCAGTGAGCTGAGATCACACCATTGCACTCCAGCCTGGGCAACAAGAGTGAAACTCCGTCTCAGAAAAAAAAAAAAAAAGAAAAAAAAAGAAAATTATAACATTATTTTTAGTTTCTATGGATTTGTCTAATATAACAATTTCTGTCATACATGAAGAAAATGCCTTCAATCTCCTTTTAGAAATAATATACATTTTGTTTTGCTCATATAGTAGGCATCAGGATCTGTTATCTCTTGTAGCCCCTAATAGTTGAGCAATAACTCTCTTGCCACAGTTTTCCTGCAAAGAAACTCAAGAAAAAAAAAAAAAAAAAAACTGTGACGCAATGTGTTAAATATATATGCATCACTGACCTAGGATTGCAAGCTTCAGTACTTCCTCTGCCACTTACTAGTTATATGACTTGGCCACATTATCTAATAAGATCAGTTTCTTCCTCTGTAAAACGGGGGTAATGCTGGCTGCTGCTTCTACCTAAAGACTTACCTAAACAACATATATCACTTGACTCCAAAAACACAAAAGAAAAACAAAAAGCATTGCACAAAAAAAGGGCTTTCATCGTAGCTAAAAAATTGAAGTTATTAAGATGAAAACAGGCGCTGCCCAGAGGTACTACAGAATTAGCCTTCAAATGATAAACGTTGATCCAAATTAGAGCACCTCTGAAAGTTTAAAAACTGGAATCGCCTATAACGATGAAATTCGGAAAGCACCAAAAAGCACTTTGAAAACTGGTTTACAGACATAAGACACTCAATTACATCATCTTTCCCTTACCAGAACTCCTCACTTATCACACTCCACTGCCCGAAGCCCACACCCAACAACCCAGTCACTGCCTTCCCCATAGACTGCTGGAGGGGGCTTGATGTACGCCCTGCTCCCACCCGCTCCCTCAGGTCGGACGTCTTCAGAATGCAGTTAAACCCTTCATAAGGTCACTTTTAAGTAGTAATGACCCACCCTTTGAAGAACCTAGAGACCAGAAACAGCACTGGGGGCATTTTCAGCACCCAGAGCAGAATCCGCCTTGCATTCTGCTGCAACCAGAAACTGGGTGCCAGAGCCATTTCCCCAGCAAGACAACCCCTTGTCTTACCTCTACCCACGCACCTTACGGCCGCCGCCATGTTGGCCACTCCGGATTGCGTTCACGAAATTGGTCCTACTTTCTACTGGGACGAATTAAAAAAGGGTTCCGTTCCAGAATCAGCAAAGGGGGAAGGAGTTAGGAAGGAACAAGAGGAACGGGGCGGGGACCAAAATGAGTTTTGCTGCCGGCGTGGCGGTGTTCCTGTTAGTCCGCCGTGCTACCCCGGACCCTGTGTTTCGTGGTTCCGGTACGGCTGGTTAACCACCTTCTGGAAAATGCAATCCTGTTGGTGATGCCGTAATTATTTTAATCCTTTCTTCTTCCTCTTTTTCTTTTTTGACCCTTTAAGCGTACTCAGAGCGACAATTTTTTTTTTTTTTTTTTTTTTTTTTGAGAGGGAGTCTTCCTCTGTCGCCCAGGCTGGAGTGCAGTGGCGCGATCTCTGCTCTCTGCAACCTCCGGCTCCTGGGTTCAAGCGATTCTTCTTCCTCAGCCTCCCGAGTAGCTGGGACTACAGGCGCGCGCTACCACACCCGGCTAATTTTTTTTTTTTTTTTTTTTTTGAGACGGAGTTTCACTCTTGTCACCCAGGCTGGAGTGCAATGGCGCAATCTCGGCTCACCGCAACCTCCGCGTCCTGGGTTCAGGCAATTCTCCTGCCTCAGCCTCCTGAGTAGCTGGGATTACAGGCATGCGCCACCATGCCCAGCTGATTTTTTTGTATTTTTAGTGCAGACAGGGTTTCACCATGTTGACCAGGATGGTCTCGATCTCTTGACCTCGTGATGCACCCGCCTCGGCCTTCCAAAGTGCTGGTGTTACTGGCGTGAGCCACCGCACCGGCACCAGAACGACAATTTTAACAGGCTGTGAGAGTCCTTACTACCCGACTTAAAATCTTGAAAAACATAAACTTTGAAGCCCACTAGCTTCCTTCGTCACATTTCCGGCCTTGGAAAGACTTCTTTAAACATTCTCCAGGCGTTTCGCAGCTACCCAAGGGAGGTGTCCAACTCATTGACAAACTTTGTTAATTGTCAAACTTTCTCTCAGCGCAAGATCAGCTGTAGCTTAACATAAAATCTTACATTAATCTCTACATTTTCCCCTTGCTGGCAAGCAAGTAGACTTACCATTAGGACCTATTGAATAATAATACTTGACATTTATAAAACATTTCTAGTTTTAAATATGGCAGCTCCAAGACTCACGCACAGGTTATTCTGATAGGAAAAAAAAAAAATGAGTGTACTTTCCATTACGTCACAGCTGTCAGTGTGGTTTATCTAAAACAAATCTGATCATGTATTTTATCACTTCCCAGCTTATCTCCCCGACACACACACGCACACGCACACGCACACGCACACGCACACACACACACACACACGTTTCTCACCTCCATGACGTGGTTAATTCTATCTTCTCAGGTTGGAATCTGTATGTACCCCACATCACCTAGGTAACTTTTTTAAAGATTTCGCCTCAGGCTGTGTTTGTTTGTTTTACAGTTTTGAGATATAATTTATATACCATACAATCTACCCATTTAAATTGTACAATTTGGTAAGTTTTTAATATACTCAAAGAGTTGTGCAGCCATCACCACAATATATCAGTTCTCACCACCAGTCTGAGCTTTTTATGGGTAGAAACTGTCTTACAGCTAGTGCTCGACTTACGACCACAGTCGGGACCTTGGACCGGTCGTAACACGATTTGGTCGTAAGTTGAGTAGGCTATATGTACAGTTGAAATGGTGCACGCGGAGATGGTAGTGCTGCTGGAAGCTGGTCCGCACTGTCGTATGCCCAGCTGGGCAACGTTTGCGCTGCCAGACGCGGAGCAGTCGTGGCTAGCGACTGTGGTCATAAAGTCGAATAGTCGTAAGTTGCATAGGTGGTAAGTCGATCAATACCTGTATTCATTTTTGTAACCTCAGCACATACTTCAGTGCTGGGCCCATAGGAGGCTCCCAATAAATGTTTGCTGAATAAATGAATATATGCGTGCATGAATTAGTGACTCAATTAGAATGGCAAGCCTGCAAAATTAACTTGCTTCAGTGAAGCTGCCCACAGGAAGATGGACTGGATCAAAGGCATTTCCCAGATGCCTTATGTCATATTTATACATAGTACTCATCTACCTGAAGAATAAGATTTCTAATTTATTACCTTGTCTTGTTAACACCTAAGCAGTTACTTTAAAGATTCTACAATTTGTGATTTAGCAAAAAAATGCAAAGAACTTAAATCTACCTTTGTAACCTTTTTCCTTCTCTCTCTCCCTCTCATCCTCCCTTCTTTTCACAAATATATATATGAGTGCCTGTCATATGTCAAGCAGTGTACCTGACTATGCATACATGAAAAAAACTAATTCAATTTGAGAGTAAATACCAGAACTGAAGCAAGTTTACCCAGTCAATTTCAGACAAAAATGAACACTCAGATTAGAGGTGCTTGTCCTTAGGCCCTATATCCATTTCCTTTCCATAGTCCACAGTTGGGGTCAGTGCCCCCCATCTGTGGACTTGTTTTTTTCTCTCAAGACAGGATGTCACTCTGTCACCCAAGCTGGAGTGCACTGACAAGATCATAGCTCATTTGCAGCCTTCACCTCCTAGGCTCAAGTGATCCTCGTGCCTCAGCCTTCCAAGTAGCAGGGACCACAGGCACACACCACCACACCTGGCTAACATTTTTATTTTTATTTATGGATGGGGTGTGGGGTGTCTTACTTTGTTGCCCAGGCTGGTCTCAAACTCCTGGCTTCAAGCAATTCCAAAGTGCTGGCATTACAGGTGTGAACCAACACAGCAGGTCCCATTTATAGACTTCTTTGTGTCTACTGTTCTAACAAAAGAGTTTAAACATCCAATATCGAAACTATTACAATATAGTATGCTTACATACCATAATGTATGCTTACAGTGGTAGCCTAATTAAAGTAATGTCCTATACAGCTTCAGCTTACCTACTGCCCACTCTGGTCACCAGAACTTGATGGCATTGGGTAGATTCCAGTTTTGTATATAACAATACATAAAGAAATTCCTTAGCCTGAGACTTTATAAAAACAACAAAAGGACTTTATAAAAACTACAACAATCCATACTCTGAAGTAGGAGCTCCAAGCCTCTAAATATTTATTACATAATGAGTTTCTTCTCACTAAAAAGAGGTAATAGAACAGGAATTTCCAATCTTTTGGCTTCCCTGGGCCACATTGGAAGAATTATCTTGGGCCACACATAAAATACACTAACACTCATGATAGCTGATGAGCTTTTAAAAAAATTAAAAAAAAAAATCTCATAATGTTTTAAGAAAGTTTATGAATTTGTGTTGGGCCATATTCAAAGCCATGTTGGACCACATGTGGCCAGCAGGCCATGGGTTGGGTAAGCTTGTCATAGAGCATTTTGGTTAAACAGCTGTGCCCTGGAGCTAAACTGCCTAGGCTTGAATTCCAGTATCATCACTTAGTAGTTGTGTGACCTGGGGCAAATTTATATACCTCTTTTGGCCTCGGTTTCCCTGATATGGGGCTAATAAAAAGATAATTTACTGAGGTGCTTACTGAAGTACTTGGCACAGAGCAAGCACTCAAAAAATCTTAAATGTCATTATTAAAGAATCAGTGAGAGCTCTGAACCAGAAAGGCAAAATAAATAGGCTGTTCTAGTACTCCTTCCAATATCTGCTTATTTCTTAACACGATCCATGCTGTTCTTATTCCCATATGTACAAAGATATCACTTTCTTTATGTTAGAACTTTTATAAGTATTTGCTGAAAGTCTTTAAACGGTATTATGCACTTCAGAATTCACTTTAAAATGCAATTTTTGATTTCTAGGAAGGCTTATATTCTCCAGGAGTCTTGACAAAATGCCAGCTGCCAGCCTGCTTGGCAAATTTCCCTGGGAAAAACTAATATATATTTGTCTAGCCCTTTAACTTTCTTGATCTGTGTTCTCTGCATTTATTCAGCCATCTTTCAGTTGAGCTGGAAACTTCTTTGCAAGAAGTGTCACTTCCCTTTGGGGTTCAAGTTGAAAACGGATACTCTTATTGGACAGAAATAAGGAACCTCAGGACATTTCCTATTTCAGTAAGGTGCATCAGAATCACTCAGAAGGCTTTTTAAACTTCGGTTGCTGGGCCCCATCCCCAGAGCTTCTGATCCAGTAGTTTGAGACAGAGCCTGTAAGTATAATAAATTCTCAGGTGATACTGATTTACTGGCCCAGTGACCATACTTTGAAAACCATTCCCTATGTAATACCATGAAATATTTGCATTTATATCTAACATTAACTTCGGGAGAAGCTGTTGTTTTGTTTAAAATTTTTATGCTCAATATAATATAGTCTATAAATGTTCTTTGTGGGATATTTCTCCAAAACCAGAATCTACCCACTTTTACTTTCTTTCTCTCTACATACAATCTGCTATTCTACGCCTGGTTTTCAACTCCAAAATTGTCCACCTGCCAGCTGAGAAAATTTCTACTCCCTGTCTGTCTGCCTATCTGGGTCTTAAGTATTACCAACCCCCGGATTCCCTTTCCCCCTTCAGAAATGCCTTTTTCTTTTTCCCATAAAGAAATGACTATCTAGGAAAATGTTCTTTTAGTCACAAGGCTGAAAGTTCAGTAAATGGCAGACTGGAACTCATTTTGTCTTGTCCCCCACACATGACAGTTACTATGTCCAAAAACCTCTAGCAGATTTGCTTAATTCCAGATTGATTTAGGAGATTTAGAACTGTCCAGTGGTATGCTAGTAAAAGTTTAACAACTGGTTCTCCCATATAAAAGAAATGAATCTGTACCATTTGTCAATTTCTATGGTGCAAATATTCCCATAGTAGGTGACTTCAAGTCACCAAACATAAAATCAACCAACTCAAAATTTCTGACAATTTATCAATTGGTTCTTGAATAGCTAAAACATACTACAAATACAAGTCTTCAGTAACTTTTAGGAGGCCTAAACAAAACCAGTTCATCTTAGAGCAATATTTCTTAAACTTTAATGTGAATTCAGATCACCTGGAAATCTTATTAAAATGTAGATTCTGATTTGATAGGCCTGAAATGGGGCTTGCGGTTCTGATTTTTAACAGGCTCCTAACAGTGATGTTGATACTGCTGGTTCATGGACCACCCTTTTAATAGCAGTGTCCTAGAACATATTCGCGAGCAAAACTCACATCCCTATCATTAATCCCAAACCAGAACCCTTTGAATAGGGTCCTTCTAATACAGGGAATAGAATAAGTTTAAGTAGATTCGCAAATTTCTGGGAGTAAACTTCATGGCCTCCATCTTTCAGCATCTTTCAGTGGAGATACTAA